ACTAGTCGAGATTTCCTTTAGAAATAATTTCCATGATAAATTTTCATACTCGAATCTGATGTGAAAATGGAAGCCTGATAGGTACAACATCCATGGTCGTTAACAAATCTATAACTGATAGAGTCGAGCGCATTAACGGCCGATCGTTGTTTGGTTAAAAAAATCGACTTATTTTTATTATATTTGTTATTTTTCTCTTTCAAAATTTATCTGAAGCTTGCTGTTCGTAGAAAGAAGGCAGTAAATGTTCGTCACCAACCACGAAAAAAATTAGTAATGAATCCAATATTTTATCAAAAACATTGTGATAAGCTAATCACCAAATCTATGAAATGTGAATTTTTTTACACAAAAATTGAATTAGCTCATCGATGGGACAATAATTATTAATAACCATACGAGAATGTTAATTTAATGATTACGAGTTTATCCACACGTGCATGCTTTACGGAAGTATTGGCTAGCAAACTAGTAGCTGCTGAATGGTAATTTCTGCCTGAAATTCCCCATAATTCTTTGATAAGAGCAGGACTTCATTTAATGCTAAATTAGAGCCTAGGGATACTTTGTATAGAACACCACACAATTTGTATCCTGGTCCGCATAACTCCGCGGGGTATCGATCACCGGGTGAATGAACTCTACCGTTGTTGTTGCTGCTCGGTTCATGCACATGTTGATGAAAAATCTACAGGTATTACAACTCTTATTGGTATTAAAACCATTTGTATTGTTAGGGATTGCAATAGGATTCGTGAAATTTGTCATTTTAGTTTTAATTCACCACCGATATGACTTCGTCATTAAATGTTCAATAACTTATCGTTGTTGCGTGATTCACCACAGAGGTACGTAGTTGTATTGGTTCTATTAATATTGATTATAATGTGCATGTAAATTCAGTAGTGCTTCAATAATTGGTCAATAATTGGCGTGAATTTATAGATTCATGTGTATGTGTTATTCAGGGGTATCATGTTCGGTGTTAAGTTAATTATTACTCGTCCCAAATTTAGGTTTGCATTTACATTACAGAAAAACTCCGAACTTGAGTTGAGAGAAGAACATGAGCAAAGAAAGCACACGGTTTGTTTATTGTTATTTGTTTATTTATTATTATAGTACCTACTTAATTTATCATATCATTCATCCTTTATTTACGATCATTTGTCAAGTATCTGGGGTCAAAGAGAGCTTATTTATCGATTAGTCCCCAACAGTATAACAACCATTTGTTAAATTAAAAAAAACTTACCGTAATCTCACAATTGTTTCAAATTAGTAATATTTGTCACAGAACTCATTGATTTCTATAATTATATGTCCAGCAATAGGTAATGAATAAAAGTTCTTCTAAGTACTTTCTAGTTGATCCCAGTGAGTTAATTTTAACCATTTGTACTCGTTAATTCTTACAAAAACCTCAAGTGAAAATTTTTTCAGCCTTTATAAAACCCAGTGACATTTTCCATTAACAAATTAACATTAATAAAGGGGATTCGCATTAACGGGATTAACTCTAGCCTCTGCACTTGCTTGTAAGTGAATGTACAGTTTTCTTCCTATTAGTTTAACTGCTGTTTTTACGCACAAGGTGTACTCGCAAGATGCCACCAATTTAATCCTTCGTGGTAAATCTTACGACTGTTATAGGTGGTCGCATCACACCGTATCAGTGCGCTAGTACGCTGCAGCAACTTCTGTAAGAAGCACCTGGCGCTGAACAGCATGCGGAAGTGGCGCCAATAACAACAGTGGCTTGCGAGATCATCTTTAGTCTTTCGGTGCCGCCCTTGGATGCGCGTTCGAAGCAAATATTCATTTAACCGTGAATTTTATTTCCTTTCTTTCCAGTTATTAGCACGTTTTTTTCCATAAGAACGTATTACAAAGACAAATTCGGTCTACTGTTAGAATTGGCTGATACACTTTTTAGGAAAAATCAGCATATACGGCTTCTTACAATTCTAAATAAAACTTTCCCATTCAATTTTTGTGTTTCGTATCGCCTAATATCGATGACAAAAATGGCAGAACCTTAGCCTGCACGTATATCAACAGAGGACGTATCATAGCTAGCATAGCTATATTAAGTGCCATTTCCTAGCTACCTATTTCCACAATAGGTTCCGTGTCATAGCTGCCCATTTTCACAATAGGTGCCGTATCCTAACTACCCCATAGCCAACATATCCACAATGGGTGCCGTATCCTAGAAACCCATATCGATAATAGGTGCCGTATCCTAGCTACCCATATCCACAATAGGTGCCGTATCCTAGCTAACCATATCCACAATAGGTGCCGTATCCTAGATACCCATATCCACAATAGGTGTCGTGTCCATATTTATCCATAAATGGCACAAAGCCAAGCATTACAACACGGGTATCCGTGACGTCACGACAGCAGCGGCTGCTCGGCCTATATTCCGTCACGGTCAAGTTCAAACCTCCGGTCAATACGAAGCTGCTCCTCCCGCTGCTTCGTCGTGAGATTACCCCCCGTGTTAGATGTTCTAAGATGGATTATTTCAACGTGATTGTCTTGCCGCTGCCCAATAAGATCCTGTAACGATCCTGATGTTGCATGATGCAAATTTCGATGAAATCCCTAGACAGTAAATATAGAACATGTAATGCTAAACTCGCACATGCGGCATACATACAAACTAAATATTTAAATTATGCACGTTACATAACACGTTCAACTTGAACGATTTAACGAAAGTCATATTCGTTCCCGAGGGGGGCAAAGTTTTCTTTCCCGGTTAGCCGTCTGAACTTCCTCTTTGGAAAACGACGAATGTTTTCAAAAGACTACTGCAATATGAATTGAAGACTCGCCCGTTGCTCCGACTTTTATCCCATTGGTTAAAATTACCGGAGTTTATTTTCTTGTTTATGATTGTTGCAGAATCACATGTAGCTGAGCTCAAGGACATGGACATTGCCTTCGCTTCGATATGCGTATTATAATTTCTAGCAACTTTATGTGATACGGACAAAAGTAGCGGCTGCAATGTGCTAATAAATTACATGCGCGTTATCGGCGACAAAAACTTCTTTAATAGTATGTGAAAATGTCATAGAAAAATTTTGTTACTTCCATCCTTCCTTGAATAGAGGAAGATTAAGTAACGGGCGTTTACTGATGAGTTAGGGTGCGGAGCTTCCGTGTTTGGCGCCCCAGCGAGCCTAGCGTTGTTAAAGATGACCGCCAACGCTGGGGCTGACGCTTGCCGTGCCCCCACCGTGCCCTGCCTACCTTCCTTCTTGTCTGCCTTGTCTTCTTTCCTATCTTTCTTCGTTTCTTTTCTGTCTGCCATTCATTTTCTCCTGTCTGACATTTTCTCCTGTCTTAGTTCCATCTATATTTTTTTTCGTGGAAGTTTCGTGTACTGCCTTGCCTCATTTCTTGCCTGAGTGCTACCCCATCTTCTTCGGTCTGTCCTCATTTATTTCTAGCCTACCTTACATTTCATCTATCTTTATCTGTGTCCTCGAATATTTAGCCTGCTCTTTCTCTCCGAATATCTTCCTTCACTCGTGTCTTTGCCCTCTCACGTCTACGATTCCTTCTCCACGATTCCTCTCTCACTCATTTATCTTATTCCTCTTCTTTATGAAGTCTTCGCAATCCATCAATTCCACCGTGCGGGCTTGTGCTGGTTTACGTTCTATTTATATACGTTCCCTTTTTTATATGTTCTCGCTAATGAATTTCTCGAGCAAACATTGCCCCGCCGAGCCATTGCGCATTTAAATTTCCTGCGTTATTTGATCTCCTGAAGACCAACTGTATTGAATCGTCGTCATAAATTTTCGAATATAGACTTACTAAAGACTTGGTAAATAATACAAATTACCGAGTTGGTAATTTGTATATGAAAATATACAAAATAAGTATGTAATAATTATTGATGAATATTATTATGATAATTATTTTCCTATGATTGAGATGAAGTCAGGTGCTGCTATGAGCATCACTTATTAAAGATAAGTGCTAAAATAGTTGCCTTCGTTGATATGAGTTGACTTTTTCCGTCCTAACAGTTGATTCTTCGTAGTAAGTTCAGATAACACCAAAATCTGCTTATGAAACGTCAAACGTCGAATAAATGATCGCAGGAGTGTGACCACCTATGATATTTCTGTTGCTGATAGTTTCTGCGATGATATCCATACTCTAATGCGTCCAAATGAATTAAATGCTGGGTGTTTCTGTAACTTTAATGATATATGGCAGCTTCTAACGTACCAAAATTATTTTAATTAATTATTTCACAAAATAGTATTTGATTCCATGTTTTATTCGCTTTATTTTCATTTTTGATTTCACTACCGGTACTTATCTCTATTTACATGGGGGTTCCCAATATCGACTATCTTGTGTTCGTGATGTATTTAATCTGATTGCTCTTTATTATTTTTATTGTGCACCATTTGGCAGATTGAAAATTTATGTAAAAACACCCGCTGCTTCATTCTAAAAAAAATCCTTCGATTCGATAGCTCTCCAACACGAGATAGTCGAACGCTTGTTCCATAATCCGTAGAGTTTAACGAGATTATACGACTTTCCTGATTTTCCACGAATAACTTACGCTTCGCTTTGTAGGTTATTAAGAAGCTATTCATATATTATTCTTGTAAAACTAGAAATTTAATTGTAATAGATTTGACCAAACAGCAAGCTGAGCACAAAATTTAACTAACTTAAACAGAAAATGGGGGAATTCGATGCAGACGTAATGAGAAGGTCAGGTACCGTAGATTTTTTACGCTCAAAATAGGATTCGTAGGTATTCAGTAATGAGTACCTACTGGATTTTTTTTATTCGTCTGATGCAATTATTTTTGCTCACCGCGATTTTATATGTACAAAAGGGAGGTTTAGCGAAAAAAGTCTTCATATTACCACATAAAATATTTATTTCGCGAACCAAAAATATTTTAAATAATTCAGAGACGCTGTGAAGGTTCTTCTAACGTCCGCAGGTGTGGCGGCGTCAAGGCCACGTCCGACGGGCTGGTGGAGCGACGTACGGGACGTGCAGCGCTACTCATGACCTAGTACGTCACTCCCCACCCTCTGTAGTACGTCACTCCCCACCCTCTGTAGCACGTCACTCCCCACCCTCTGTAGCACGTCACTCCCCACCCTCTGTAGTACGTCACTCCCCACCCTCTACAGCACGTCACTCCCCACCCTCTGTAGCACGTCACTCCCCACCCTCTGTAGCACGTCACTCCCCACCCTCTGTAGCACGTCACTCCTCACCCTCTACAGCACGTCGAGGGTCTATTATCAGTTAGGAAATATTGTTCTGCTATTCCTACCTGTTGTTGTTATACCTATACTTTAATACTAAAGCATAGGTACTCTTGCCTAAATGTTTTAATGATATTCCTACGCTGCATGTATTGCCTTATCGCCCGTCTCATCGATGGGTGTGATGATATTTTGCATATTTGATATGATTTATTGGTAGAATTTCGTAACATTCTATTATTAATTAAATTTTCTTTAAAAATAAGTGCAAGTTTTATAGTTGAAGGCAATCAATGCTGCATCTTTTCTGGCCGTTCATTGGTCATCGATAACTTGGGATCTCAAGCTAAACTTTGAAGATGCCATGTTACAGACAGAGACAGCTTGTTAAAGCTATAGGTTCAAATAAACATAGTGCCCTACTATTTAGTTGGATTTATAGTTAATTATCAGTTATTAGGGCCAGTATGAAACGCTTTCCGATTTGCGTTCCATGTATGCAAGTGAAATTAATTCACAGACGCGTGCTTGAGAGGCGCCATGACTTCCCCCGCCTACGTCTCGGAGGTGACTGGTGGTCACCGACTCTCGCCCTCGCGTGGCGACGAGGGCGACGACGACGACGATGGTGGCTTTAGAGAGCGCAGGGCGCTCAGGGAGGACACACCTCCCGCCCCTTGCTCCGTGATCTGCCGTCCCCGCACCTGCTCCACCCTGCCCCCCACACTCCCCAAGTCTCCCCACGATGCCTCCTCTCCTGGTTAGAACTCGCCCTTTCGCATCGCGTAAACTAAATACGGCAACATGATTTACCTTAATAAGTTTATTTTAAAAAATATATATTTTCCTGCGTTTTAGATAATATTTATGCCTACAGTATTCACATTTTTACGTATGAAATATGTACTTAAATTGTTGAATTACATGAACGCAATTTCCCAGAGACGCCGAGCAAGGGGCGACGGGGGGCGCGGCTGTGGGGGCTGCGTAGCCTCGTGAAGATGTTCAGGCGGCGGGTGCGGCGTCGCAGCGCCACGTCCCCCACCACCGCCTCCGGCAGCGGCGGTCACGCCAGTGACAGTCCCGCCGCCTCGCCCCCCGCCGCCGCCCGCACGCGCTCTGCCTCAGAGCTCCTGCTGGAGAACAGGTGCGTCACCGCGGTTATAATTATGAGAAATGTGTTGATGAAGTGTAGGTATATCTTGAATTAAAATTATTTCTTGAATTAAAGTGTATATCTTGAATCAAAGTGTGTATCTTGAATTAAAGTGTACCGGTATTTCATTAATCAAGTGTATTTCTTGATATTGCATGTGATATGGCATCAAACGTAATGTCATGACGCTGTTGTGGCACTCGTGACGTCATCACACATGACACACCCCACGTCATGACTCGCTTATGACACAATTGACTCACTACAGGTCAGGCTGCGGGCCGTACAACCAGGGCATGAGTGTGTCACATGACTCAGTCTTCAGTCCTGACTCTCCCCCCACCCCCGCCGCCCCCCACGCCAACCCCATCACACGGGGCGTCAACATGGTGCGTATCTGGTGCGTGGTGCGTATCTGGGGCGTGGTGCGTATCTGGTGCGTGGTGCGTATCTGGTGCGTGGTGCGTATCTGGTGCGTGGTGCGTATCTGGTGCGTGGTGCGTATCTGGTGCGTGGTGCGTATCTGGTGCGTGGTGCGTATCAGGTGCGAGGTGCGTATCTGGTGCGTGGTGCGTATCTGGTGCGTGGTGCGTATCTGGTGCGTGGTGCGTATCAGGTGCGTAGTGCGTATCTGGTGCGTGATGCGTATCTGGTGCGTGGTGCGTATCAGGGTCACAGAACCGCTTCACGGTGCGGTCAAAGTACGTCATGACGATGCATTTAAAGGCCTGTGTCACGATGCGTTTTACGAGCCTATGCATGATTGTTCTTTGCACAGATCACGGCCTGATAGAGCGCTGCGCTATCAATAAAACATCTATATGATATCAACAAGACCGATAAGTTACTATAAGAACCCAGGGCTATCTATTAAGCATCAGATAATAACGCTCGAGATGGCCAAGCTGTATAGCCCGGCTAGTCTGAGTCACGATGTGTGCTGTGTCGCCAGGGGAAATGAATAGTTATTATATCTTCTTGTGAACCGTTGTTGGCAGGTTCTATTTTGTAGAATTCGGTCTTTGTGAACCAGTGCTTGCTGGTTCTCGTTTGGAAATTTATACTTGCTGCAGAGTTGCCCAGTGAGCGCAGTGCTTCTGACATCAACATCTGAGCGATAGAAAAAAATATATTCATACATAAATTATCTAAATAATATCAGAAATATATTCATCTTTACCCCTGTAGAAACACGAAGAAGTTTTCGAAAGGTTGTAGATATTAAAACTTAGAGAATACCCTCTAAAAGTGATTTCTATCTCTGCACCTAAAGCTACATTATTTATAAACGTCCGTTTTGTGACTCGCAGTGGAACTTTGAACTTATGTTACGTTACTAACTCTTGAGTCGCGCTCGTATGGCAAGTCATGTTCTCTAGCTGGCGGTTATAGTTTCATTTTCAGGAAATTAGTTTGAGTTTGGTTGGTTAGTTCGTTTCGGAGAGAAGAGTTACGCTATGCTGAGTGTGGTGAAGCTATCCTTGTATGAAGACGTGAGTAAAGATTAAGCGAGTTATTTTCTCTGAAATTTTTGGCCGAGTTGCGATTCAAGCTGCTATCAATTACATTAAGACATTAGTATGATTTCATACTCGTACATATTTTTAGCAGTGAGATCAAACTTGCTTCAAATAATTCGCTTCCGAATGTCTTGCGGAAACACAAATGGAAACAAACGTGTCTTTTTGCATTATTTTGTTCTATATTAGATTTAATCATCATCATCTGTGTCGCACTCATTGTGTTTTCTTTAATGCGTTGAATTGCTGTGTGTCTTAGTGACGCGTCATTTAAACGGAAATAACTTCATCTTTCTGAGTTTCCTGTAAACTCGTGTTTGTCAAATTTGTCAAAATGCATCTTGGTTAAATGAAGACTTAGCTTTCTTTACCCGTCATCCCTCTTCTAATCCTCACTCACTTTAAGACTTAAGGGGACCGGCTAAGCTCCGGAAAAACTTCTTCAGTTATTATCCGATTATCATGAAACTTCACATACATACGTAAAATGTAAAAATAAAAACATTTTACTTCTATGAATTTTTCGAAAAAATTGATAGAAAACGTGAAATTCATAGAAAACGGCTAAAAAGGGGTACTTCAGAAAATCTCTCACTCGTCCGCCTTTCCTCACTCGTCCGCCTTTCCTCACTCGTCCGCCTTACCTCACTCGTCCGCCTTCTCTCACTCGTCCGCCTTCTCTCACTCGTCCGCCTTCTCTCACTCGTCCGCCTTTCCTCACTCGTCCGCCTTCTCTCACTCGTCCGCCTTTCCTCACTCGTCCGCCTTCTCTCACTCGTCCGCCTTCTCTCACTCGTCCGCTTTTCCTCACTCGTCCGCTTTTCTTTCCTCGTCCGCAGTCGGAGCTGAAGGCGGTCCTGAGGCGACGTGTTGCCAGCGGCGGTGACGGTGACGGTGGGCGACGAGGCGACGATTCTGGCAGCGGCGACGATGACCCCGGCCTGCCGCGGTCCCCTCCCACGTCCCCCACCACCGTGGACGTCCTCAACCACGGCCTCAAGGTGCCGGTCCCACGCTGTCATCACCGTCCCCTACAGTCACCACACTTATAATGAAACTTCAGTGTAATAAACGTAGTGGCTGCCAATTGTAAATTACATCCTGCACTCAGAGAGCAAGGCTTTGTCCAAATAGAGATGCACTTTTTCCCCGTGTGTGGGTTTTCTGACCCGGTTTGGCACGGCAAAAGGACGTATCAGTGCTACGGCCACTCTCTGCTCTTGCTGTGGGTAAAAAGTATGTCACTATTAGCACATTATGACCTCACCATTTTTCTAAGTGATTCGTGATTGAATTGAAAAAACTTTTCCATTTTTTTTCTATTGCGATTTTACATTGGTCGGGGCCAATGGAGGTGTGTGACAGAACTATTTGGTGCTCTAATTCGTCCGTATTATAAACACAAATATCAGCATTTGTTGGAAGCAAACTTGCTTGCTTATTGTGCCACGTCGAATTTGGTTAAAAGTTTACCAGAGACTGCGGCTTTACGGTGTAGTTCGATCCCACGTAGACTTACAGTGGCTTGTTTAATTTAGTTTTTTAATTAAACGAGCTCCTTATTTTGAATCATCATTCTTCCTCCCAAATTCACTTGTTTACATTATTATGGTACGTATTAGATGTTTATTGATCTTCCCGAGTTATATAATAAATAGCAGGAGTGTCTTGATGATCTATTTTAGTAACATCAAATCTTGCGTATTTACCAATCAGTAGCATTATTCATTCATTACTTATTATGGTTATTTATTATTCATAAGCATGTAATTATTCTTAAAGCATTGATGTCACAAGAGTGTACAATAACAGCCCCCTCGTTGCCCCCCCCCAGAGCATGTCCCGTGCGACGCACTCAACGTGTAGCGACGGCTCCCTGCTGTCCATGGGCAGCTCAGAACTCGAGGAGGTCAGTTCTCTATACACTGGATTCTAGATTATATCTGGACACTAGGTTTATTTAGAACTAAAATCTTCCTCTCTATTCCGCTTTCAGAGTTAGATTTAATCAGAGCTGGAATCCATCTTTGATGTAAGAAGGGAAGTTCTACTGCGGTACTAGTTCTGATGTTACTGGATGGGCTGGTTTAGTCTAAATCTGCTCGGTATGAGTGTTTATTTAACTAGAACGTGAGGGATCCGCACATGTTAGGGGGGAAAGTGTACCCTTAGAAGGTTACTGAGCACTCCGACGGGAAGTGATGTAACGTAAGGTAAAGCTGACACGAAGTTAACTCACTGTAAATGCCACGTGTCCTGAGCTCAAGATATTTATTAATAATTGATCCTAGGTTTTTTAGTCTTCTAATGTTATGGAAACAAAATAAAGTGTTTTTTTAATATACCACTCCAAAAGTTATTGATATACAGTTATATACTTGATTTGCTTGTTGATAGCGATGCACTCTTCTTATGGGCAAAGTCTTCGCCAACTCGCGCCTTGATCAGCCGCGATTTTACTTGTCGATATAGGAATCAAATTTGGCTGGCTTATCGGTGGCCACTGTGGTAAGTTGCGGATGGAAGTGCGAACATATGTGCCCGGAATGTGACGGTCGGCCTGAAGTATTTATGCAATTTGACAAATGTAGTAACTTTCCATTTGAGCAGTCGATTTGTATTCTTTTATTGCATCATCCTATGTGCTAGTTAAGTGAATTTCAAAAAGTCGTGCATTGTATTTCTACTTTCGCGGAATCAGATGACACTCCACGTCTTAATTTCATGCGAAGTTTGGGAAGTTGAGTGCATGAATCAGATCGGTTGGCCTTAATTGTTTCTACAGAGCGGCAGTGAGATCACAATATCGCCATCTATTGTCAAAGAGATGACAAAAAGATTGTTTTATTGCATGGCGTTCGCTTGGCCGGCTATTGTGACAGTAGAGCAATAGTTGGCGATTGAGGCGTAAACGTCAGCACAGCAGGTTTACTTGTTCGTAATCAACTGTTATGTCACGGTGCTAAATTTACCTAAAATATAGCTATGAAGAATGGGTTCTTGGTTAAATTTATTGAAATCGCTTTCGAAGCTCAAGCACGTTGAAATCGTCGTTGAATCTTGAATCATGTTGTTCAACAAACAATTAATTATGAGTTAAATTCTAATGGCAACGAATTTTTTTATTCGATCTAATAAAAAGAAATGTGAAGAAATGTGTGAATATGAAGTGGGGAAGAGTACAATGTAAAGCCGTTGTCACCATACGCAGATTGCGGCTTATTTAAAAAAATTGATGGTGATTTTTGGCTCTACGATGAACATACATCCGGGTTTCCAATGTAGAATCGACAGCTGTAAGTAGGAACCGGATTGACAATTGGCTGGTGGATTTACGATGTCGTAATTATTTTTGAGTATCAGGCCACAGCCGCCAGCAGCTGTCGCGTGCTCCTCTGCGGTGACCCGCCTTCTTCAGTAGCGCGCTGGCGCTCGTGCGGAGTGGATGTTAGTCAGTGCCGTGAAGGCTATTGGACGTGGACCAATTTTTACGTGCTTGTCATTGCTCCCGTGGCTTACATACAGTTGCTTCCATGTTACAGTTACACTACGTCCCTAACTGCAGACGTATGCACTGCGTTGAATTAATTTGAAACCATGTACATGTACCCCCGGTATTGGATGAATTTTCCAATTACATGAACACTCGTTGCGTGGAAAAGGTGGCTCTTGTAAGCCGTTATTTTCCCACTTCACTAAAAATTCTCACTGTGAACCAAGTTGCAAAATTTTCGTTCACGCCTGGCATCCGAATTTTCCATAACGTCAACTGTTATTGACTCATCTAAGGTTTTATTGTGCCATGAAACTAACCATGTACGCTGGTTTGTTTGCGTTTATGATATAATCATTGCGTGGTAACAATTACTTATTTGTTTTGCAGTTCAGTAATGATAAATAACGATGGTCACTTGATGTTCGATCACTTTATCTATTTTGGCTTTATTTTATTTATTTGGATCGACCTGATGTAAATGTTTGACAATTAAGCAAGTTTAGAGATAATATTTGAAGTCTATTGAAGTATACCATGCATTGCTTGAACACCAGCACCAAATGCCTGTCATGACTGCATTGTTTCCCGAGTTCCATTCGAGAGAGATTTGTGTCCTGATCTCGCTGCGATAATTACCACTGTGACGGGAATGCAGGCCGCTTTGCTTACATACATTTTATTGTATCACTTCTATGTAATGTTCATTCAAACATCGATGTAATAATATTTATTTCAAAGATATATTTTTTAAAGTTTGTACTGGAAATATAATTGATGAATCTGACTTACACCGCGCGCTGAGTGCTGTCTCGTCGGCATATGTGAGCTGATGGAACACTTGAAGTTGACCCGAATCGCTTCGGGTGCGTGGAATAACGGTATTAATTATGAATAACCTATAGGAAGTTCACGGCGATCTTTATCCTCACAGTCTACCGTGATGTTTCTCAGCAGATGTCTGATCTTGGTATCTGGTTAGTAATATTTAAATGTCGGTTTATTTTAACAGCTTCCATATTTTCATGAAATTTCATAAGCAATCCGGTTTGGGGCTGAAGCTACTTATAGTCAGTGCGGTGTAGCTCTGATAGAATGCAGCACTCGCTCTTCCTCCCATCAATGTTACTGTTCAGTGATTATGGCAGCAAACAAATTGCTGCTTGACGACAGGGCTTGATTTTCCTCGGATATGCTTTCTTGAGATGAAGGTTAAAAATTATATTTGTATCTAAAATCATTTCAGTAGTCACCGTAAACTTCGTTAAGAAATAGTAAGTTGCTTGATTGTTTTGCCTAAGAACATTTCAGAACTAGTGACAGTCTATGAGCAACTAGATATTGGTAAATTTTCTTTGTTCGTTTTAGCACATCAGGAGGAGAATTGAGCGAGAGACTACGGCCGCTCGTTAATTATCGTGGTGATGATCGTTGAATGTTATCGATGAGACGAACCGTTCCTGCTTCTCTCTGTCTCTAGGTCACGAGGCCATGCACGCATATCCTTTGTATGGCTGCATGTGGTGCACAAGTAATGTTCTCTTTTTTTATATCATTTCTTACTCCCTTCATATTTTTAAGAGTAGCTGCATTTATACCTGGCACTAATTAGTCAATCATTTTCATCCACCGTTGTTCATCTGTTCTAAAGTAAATCCCCGTCACCTTTACGCCGCGTCATCATTACAGATTTTCTTGGGGTTAGCTTTGGCACGTGATGTTCTGAAGAGTTGCTCCGATCTCGAGATTAAATTGAATTCCCGTCATTATTTTCGTTACTTTGAAACCCGTTTAAGCATGCCCTTTTGAATATTCTACAAAAGTGAGGGTACGAATTCCATCCTGGAAAGTATGCCTTTGACGTTAACGTGACATACTATCCATTTTGAATTTCAATGAGATATCTGTCGTATCTGGTCTTACATGAATTCAATTTTGTTCAACATTTTTGACTGTAGAGAAGTTTTAATCAACGTATTTTTTACTCATAACCACCTGTAATAGAACACGACCTATGCGTACTTCAAAAGTATGCCTACAATCATCCTCTTGTATCGAAAATTCAAAAGGCTTTAACTATATATGCTACCTACCGCCGACTCAAAAAATTTGAGGACTTATTTTATTTTGCTGATATTTCACCGAATCATAGCCATCATAGCTAGCTGATCAGTTAACCTCAATGGCATTGGCTTAATAATTTTGCTTAATTTAAGTTACGAGACCGAAACAAAAGAATTTCTATGAAATAAGTTCTGCATTTTCTAATGATCTCGCCACAAGCAAGATTTCCAACTCCCAAATCGAGAATGTGAGACCAGCGAAGCGTTCTTAATGTTGTTCCAAACCTCGACTGAGAAATAAAATAATCGAGCTTCCTTGTCCCTAAATGCCAGTGTTTAGCGATACATTACTTCATGATCTTGCATTTTACAACGGCACCTTTCACCAGACAGAAATTTTCAGATGCTCTGGTGCCGGCAGTTGCAGAACAAAGCGATTCTAGCGCCTGAGTGCGATCTCTTGTTCTCGTCTTGCGCGACGCTATATTAAAGTATCGGCGGTTTAACGGCGGCTGTCGCTGGTACGCCTTTAATTTCTAATAATGTTTGCGTACTCTTGCTAACCTTTTCAGTATAAAGAAAGGGAGCGTAGTTTTGCTATCCGTAACAGTTGCGAATCGTGTTTTTCCGTCATGCTGCAGCATACCGAGCCTTTGTGTACTTGCGATGGTTCAAAGGTCTGTCTTATAACTGTGCGTTCGCTGGAGGTCAGAACTTTTCCATATATAAAAAAGTTCTTATGTGCAGCGGTTTTTCGTCAATTCTTTCCGTCTTTTCCCGCCAAAACCACCACCGTTTGATGAGCATTTTTGACGCTGATGATTTAATTCGGTTAAAGAATTTAAACATCACCAGGAAGAATATATTTCTTGGGTAATGTGATGCAATTTTCTGGAGAAAAGCTCAAATTGTTAGAAATTTTCACCTTACATAATACTTTATTTTCTGGGATTATGAAAGAAGGAACTGAAATATTTATTCAGTGTATACACGTACGAGTATTTGTCATTTATGAACGTATTTATGATTTATGAGCGTTGAATAACGCGTCCGGTATGAATGATTTATTGTTCTATCTAATCGCTTAAAGCATAAAAGACTCGAAGTTGGTCTGAATGAGAAACCCTTTTGTTTTTTCATTTCAAACCACATGTAATGCTTCTATTAAAAGCGATTGGAAGTTATGTTTGAAAAGCAAGGTTCGGAATCTCATTCTTTTAAATAAATACGCAAACCCAGCGTGATCTCGAGTTGCTCAGAGAAAGGCGAGAAGGTCTTCATGAGCTTGGACTTTTTAGACCAGAGCGCTGGCGGGTAGCCTCCAGCTGACGCTGCTGGAATATAACAGTATTC